CGGTGCAAGTAACAGGCTAAACTGCCCAGCTGTCAAGCAAAGGCTTATATCTTCTACACAACCTCACGCTGCATACACTGACGTTCCAACATCATTTTGCTGCAAGATGTCACCTTGTTGTCTAATTTACGTTGGACCATATGTCAGACAAATCATAATCCCACACTCGTGTCTGTCCTATTACAACTTAAAAAATGTTTCATTAATATTTTTTTTTTGTAGTCCATACTTTACCCCCCATCATTGGTGTCAGGAAGAGTGCCTCATTATTAGTGTCATTGGGAGGAATAATGCCCCATCATTGGTATCAGTGGGGGGAATAGTGCTTCATTCCAGTTGAAGGAACAGTGCTTCAAAGGCCATCTAAAGGAAAGCAAAGGACCATAGTTTGGAGACCACTGCTCTGCTATACAAACAAGTATTTCATAGTCTAAGGAAAAGACATAAGACAAAAAGTTAGACAAGGATATTGATAAGGTTGAAAAAACTCTTGTTTTCTTTGCAGAAAGATTTTGTTGTATGCTTCTGCAAAAGAATTTAAAGCTGAACTCTGGTCTGCTTAAAAAAATGAAAGTAACTGTAGAGATGTTGGTCCTACACTGTACACAATGACATTGCAGGATGCAAGAAGACCCGACTGGAGAAGATCCAGTTGTCACTACTAGATTATTAGAACCAGTAGAAAGGAAACAAGGAAAGATCAAAGATTAAGATATGTAATTCTTTCTATTACATCACACCCTAGGTAAATAAACATTATATCCTGATTTTACTGGGAGCTTTTGACCTGCCTTTGTTTTTAGGCTTTCCTGAGTTCAGCTTTAAGTGATGTGAGGAACATTTTAATTTAAACGCTTCACGCAATAATAAATATTTACCATAATACGAATGTAAAATAGATTAATAAAAAAAAAAATATGAAACACCATACTATGAAGATCAAGCATAAATAAAATATCATGCATATTAACCACTTTCCCGCCACCCTATATTAGAACTACTGCTACAGGGCAGTAGAGCTGTGCAAAATCACGTGTATGTTCCCTGCTGGCACCCGGCTATCGCCATGTAGAATTGACAGGGGAGAGTCCTGTGTGTAAACAACACAGGTCTCTCTCCTGCTGGCAAGGACATGCTGCTTTGTGTTTCTCTGCATGGCAGCAGAGAAATACACAGCAACACGTCTCCCTAGTAAAAAAACACACACAGCACATTATGTAAAACAGCACACAGTTACCCGTTTGATTGCTCCAGATGTTAACCCCTTCCCCAGTGTCATTTCCCAATGTCATTAGTACAGTGTTAGTGCTTTTTAGTAGCACTGATCACTGTATTAGTGTCATTGGGATGTCAGTGCCAGTTAGTCGGTTCCCACCCAGTGTCAGAATGCCTGCCACATTCCTGCTATAAGTTGCTGATCGCAGCCATTACTAGTATATAAAAAAAAATCAAAATTCCAGTATATATACCGCCATTTGTAGACGTTATAACTTTCACGTAAACCAATTAATTTACACATATTGCGATTTTTTTTTTAGCAAAGACATGTAGCAAAATACATTGAATCCTAAATTTATGAAGAAATTTTATTTTTTTAAAACAATTTTTACTGGATATGTTTTATAGCAAAAAGTAAAAAGTATTTTTTTTTTTCAAAATTGCAGGTCTTTTTTTGCTTATATTTTGTATATAAAAATAAAAAATGCACAGGTTATTAAATATCACCAAAAGAAAGCTCTATTTGTGGAAAAAAGGACATACATTTTGTTTGAGTACAGTGTTGCATGACCACGCAATTACCAGTTGAAATAGCGCAGCGCTGTAACACAAAAAATGCCCTGGTTAGGAGGGGGAGGGGGGTAAATCCTCTGGAGGGCAAGTGGTTAAAAAAACACTGTCAGTTGACCCTTTTATACCCAAAGGGAACCAAAAACTGACTTTTTGATTAATATGTAATGTGAGCTGTTTGCATGGTCATTTTTAATTTGCTGTTGAGTTGTACTTGTGAAATTTTTACTTCTCACATGACCACCTTATCAATACACTGTATATGTATCTAAGGAGAGAAAGCTGTGCCCAAAAAAGCAGGCAGAGTGCAAAAGACTAGTCACCAGCATTGCTTGGGGTCTCTCTGCAGGTGATCTTTCCCCAACACTGATTAGGCCTTGTTCTGCACCATGTCTCAAATATCTTGAGACTAGCAGTCAGAGGAAGCAGTGTCCTCAATCTCACACTGTAGTTATACAGCTATGAGGCTTTAAGCACACACATGCTTATCAGGGAGCGCACCATGGCAATACCGCTGATTAATAAAAACAGTGATGTGCTTTACAGAAGTACTCTGTATTCCATTGCCATTGGGACTCTGAAGATAGTGGAGAGCAGTATAACTAAATAAAAGATCTGTAAAGAAAAATAAACAGGGAGGGCAGCCAGGTAAGCACTCAGTTCCTCAAGGTTTTTCCAGCTCAACATTGCATGTATTCGGATTTCAATGAATGTGATAGGCCACGGTGTGTGTTCGCAGCACAGAGTGGTTACCATTATCAGCTCTCTGTTATAAATTAACCCGTTAACATTCTAAATCCTACCCACTGTACTAACCACAATCTTCTTTTATCATGGAAACTGTGATGGCATTGCAATAGTAGGCTAAAATGTACACTCACTGGCCACTTTATTAGGTACACCCTGTTCAATTGCTTGGTAACACAAATTGCTAATCAGCCAATCACATGGCAGCAACTCAATGCATTTAGGCATCTAAACGTGGTAAAGGTGGCTCAATGAAGTTCAAACTGAGCATCAGAATGGGGAAGAAAGGGGGTTTAAGTGACTTTGAACATGGCATGGTTGTTGGTGCCAGACGGACTGGTCTGAGTTTTTCAAAAACCGCTGATCTACTGGGATTTTCATCCACAACCATCTCTAGGGTTTACAGAGAATGGTCCGAAAAGCGGCAGTGTGGACGAAAATGCCTTGTTGATGTCAGAGGAGAATGGGCAGACTGGTTCGAGATAATAGAAAAGCAACAGTAACTCAAATAACCACTCGTTACAACCAAGGTATGCAGAATTCCATCTGTGAGCGCACAACACGCCGAACCTTGAAGCAGATTTGCTGCAGCAGCAGAAGGAGGTCAGGACTCTGTGCAGGCCAGTCAGGTTCCTCCAGGACAAACTTGCTCATCCATGTCTTTTTTATTATTATACAGGATTTATATGGCACCAACAGTTTTCTCAGCGCTTTACAATATAAAGGAAGACAATACAGCAACAATACAGTTCAATACAAGAGGGTTATGGGGCCCTGCTCCTTGGAGCTTACAATCTAAGAGGGAGGGGCTGGTGGTACAAAAGGTAATAACTGTGGGAGATGAACTGATAGGAGAAATAGAAAATTCAATTATCAGCTGAAGGCTTCCCTGAAGAGAGATGTTTTCAGATATCGCCTAAAAGTGGGCAGAGTAGGCGATAGTCGGATAGATTGGGGTAGAGAATTCCAGAGAATGGGGGAGGCTCTGGAGATGTCCTGGAGACAAGCATGGGAGGAGGAGACAGAGCTATGGGGGGGGGGGGGGGTACATATGTACCCAGGCGCCAAGGTACAGGGGTACCAAAATGAGGTCACAAGATCACTGCAGCGGCTGCAGCAGACGTGTCATCTGATACGTCTGCCATCCACAGTGAGTTATGAGAGGAGAGAGGAGCGGAGAGGAGGGCAGTGAGCCGGGCATGTGCCGGAGGGATTGAGGGGAGAGCCAAGCCGGGTGAGTAGTGCCATGGATGAAGGCAGGGAGTAATGTGATCGGGTCGGGGGGTGTGTCTACAGGGACCATATGAAGCGGGGGTGGTGTCAAGAGGTGGCCGTTCGTCCCCGGGCGCAAAATATCTTACTTACACCTCTGTTTGTCAGTAGGTTAGTAATGCGAGAGGAGGAGACTGAAGGAGTGAGGTGAGGAGTAGAAAGATACATTTGTGTGTCATCAGCATAGAGATGGTACTAAAAGCCATGGGAGTTTATCAAGTGACCAATGGAGGAGGTGTAGATGGAGAAGAGAAGGGGTCCAAGGACAGAACCTTGAGGGACCCCTGCAGAAAGAGGAAGTAGAGAGGAGGAGACAAAGTTATAGGTAACACTGAAGGAGCATTGCAATAGGTAGGAGGAACCAGGAGAGAGCAGAGTCTCGGAGGCCAAGAGAGTGGAGTTTTTTGAGGAGGAGGGGATGGTCGCTAGTATCAAAAGCCGCAGAGAGGTCGAGTAGTAAGAGTACGGAATAGTGGCCATTGGTTTTAGCAGTTAGTAGATCATTAGTGAGTTTTAGTAGGGCAGTTTCAGTGGAGTATAGTGAGCAAAAGCAAGACTGTAAAGGGTCAAGAAGGTTGTTGTCAGTGAGGTAGGAGCTCAGGCAATTGTAGACTAGGCGTTCTAAGAGTTTAGAGGTAAACAGGAGCAGAGAGATGGGTCTTACATTGTTCAGGTTGGTGGGGTCCAGCAAGGGCATTTTAAGTATCGGAGTGATCTGTGCATGCTTTAGAGGGGAGGGGAAGGCACGAGTAGAGAGGGAGAGATTGAAGATGTGAGTGAGGGAGCATAGGATAGAAGAAGAGAGTGACCGTAGGTGGTGAAGTGGGCTTCTGAGAAAACGTTAGTGACCTCTTCAATAGTAGCAAGGTCAAAAGAGGAAAGTGTTGAGGGAAATATAGTATAAGGTATGCTAAGTGGGATAGATGTCTGTGTAGTGGAGATGCCCCTACAAATTGCATCAATCTTGTTTTTGAAATGATTGGCAATCTCGTAAGCAGTGAGCGAGTTACTGGGGGTGGAGGTGGAGAAAGTAGAGAGTTAAAAGTAGAGAAGAGACAATGAGGACTGGATGACAAGGTATTATAAAAAGTGACAAACTAGGCTTGTTTTTATGGACCTTGCTTTGTGCACTGGTGCGTAGTCATGTTGAACAGAAAGTGGCTATCCCCAGACTGTTCCCACAAAGTTGGGAGCATGAAATTGTCCAAAATATCTTGGTATGCTGACACCTTAATAGTTCCCTTCACTGGAAATAAGGGGCTGAGCCCAACCCCTGAAAAACGAACCCACAGCAGAATCCCCCCTTCACCAAACTTTACACTTGCCACAATGCAGTCAGGCAAGTACCGTTCTCCTGGTAACTGACAAACCCAGACACATCCATAAGATTGCCAGACAGAGAAGCGTGATTCATCTCTCCAGAAAACACGTCTCCATTGCTCTAGAGTCCAGTGGCAGCTTGCTTTACACCACTGCATCCAATGCTTTGCATTGCACTTGGTGATGTAAGGCTTGGATGTACAGTTGTGTTCAAAATAATAGCAGCCAGACATCACTAACCTGATCAATCACTGTTTTTGGTAGGAATGATACTTCTACATGGCAAATAATTTACTAGCAGGTGTAGTAGAGTAATAGAAATCCAACAGACCCAACAGTCATGACATGCATGCTGCTGATTCTGTGTAATTGAATCACTAATTGAAAGGGGCATGTTCAAAATAATAGCAGTGTGGAGTTCTATTAGTGAGGTCATTCATTCTTTGAAAAACAGGTGGCAATTATTGCCCTTATTTAAGGAAGGAAGGCAGCAAATGTTGTACATGCTGGTTACAGCGCATTTCTCTCTGAAATTCTGAGGAAAATGGGTCTTTCCAGACATTGTTCAGAAGAACAGCGTACCTTGATTAAAAAGTTGATTGGAGAGGGGAAAACATATAAAGAAGTGCAGAAAATGATAGGCTGCTCAGCTAAAATGATCGCAAATGCTTTAAAATGGCAACCAAACTCTGAAAGATGTGGAAGAAAGCGAAAAACTACCATTCGAATGGATAGAAGAATAGCCAAAATGGCAAGGACTCAGCCAACAATCAGCTCCAGAAAGATCAAAGAAGGTCTAAAGTTACCTGTGAGTTCTGTAACAATTAGAAGACGCCTATGTGAAGCCAAGCTATCTGCAAGAAGCCCCCCCGCAAAGTCCCACTGTTGAAAAAAAGACGTGCTGAAGAGGTTACAATTTGCCAAAGAGCACATTGACTGGCCTAAAGAGAAATGAGGCAACATTTTGTAGACTGATGAAAGTAAGATTGTTCTTTTTGGGTCTAGTGGCCAGAGACAGTTTGTCAGACGACCCCCAAACACTGAATTCAAGCCACAGTACACTGTGAAGACAGTGAAGCATGGTTGCGCAAGCATCATGATATGGGGATATTTCTCATACTACAGTGTTGGGCCTATTTATCGCATACCAGGGATCATGGATCAGTTTGAATACATCAGAATACTTGAAGAGGTCATGCTGCTTTATGCTGAAGAGGAAATGCCCTTGAAATGGGTGTTCCAACAAGACAACAACCCCATACACACCAGTAAACGTGCAACATCTTGGTTCCAGACCAACAAGATTGAGGCTATGGAGTGGCCAGCCCAATCCCCGGATCTTAATCCAATAGAAAACTTGTGGGGTGACATCAAAAATGCAGTTTCTGAGGCAAAACCAAGAAATAGAGAAAAACTGTGGAATGTAGTCCAATCATCCTGGGCTGGAATACCTGTTCACAGGTGCCAGAAGTTGGTTGACTCAATTTTTTTAGAGGAACAACACAAATTTGATATATTTTTCTTCATGTTTTGATTTGGAATAGAATGTGTAGTGTTCCCAATGCATTTGTGTGTATGGAAATAAAAGCTATTAGGATTGTGAGCTTTATTCACTTTTTTCAACACACTGCTATTATTTTGAACACAACTGTAACTGCTCGGCCATGGAAACCCATTCCATGAAGGTCTCTATGCACTATTGTTATGCTAATCTGAAGTCCACATGAAGTTTGGAGGTCTTTAGCTATTGACTCTGCAGACAGTTAGTGATTTCTGCGCACTGTGCGCTTCAGCATGCTCTGACCTTGCTCTGTCATTTTACATTGCCAAAGTTGCGGTTGTTTCCAGTTGCTTCCATTTTGTTATAATACCACTAACAGATAACCGTGGAATGTTTAGTAGCAAGGAAATTTCATGGTTGGACTTATTGCACAGGTGGCAACCTATCACAGTACCACACTTGAATTCACTGAGCTCCTGAGAGCGACCCATTCTTTCACAAATGTTAGTAGAAGCAGTCTGCATGCCTAGGTGCTTGATTTTATACACCTGTGGCCATAGAGGTGATTGGAACACCTGAATCCATTGATTTTGAGGGGTATCCCAATACTTTTGGCAATATAGTGTATGTGTGTAAATCTATTCTAGTTGTTAAAAAAAATAAGAAAGAATTCTTACGCCTATAAAAGCTGTATACGCGTTTACTTACATAAACAAAAACCACACATCACTGAATGCTTTTTTTTCAAGCTGGATTTGCTGCCAATTTCTGGCAGCAAGATCCAGTGTAGAAATTAGTATTTTCAATATGTCCGTGTCCATGGGCTGTAAAGCAGTAACATATTACCTTTAATATCCACTAGATGCTGCTACTGTATATGGTTGCATCTTAGTCTGGAGTATACTGTACATAGAGCCAGCTGGTATAAAAAGATGTTGAATGTAGGTACTCTATATTCCTGTACTTGGATACAACCACATTCGCCAACATTCATCCTCATTTCTTGCTTTAGTTTTCTTGGACAGTACAGATAGCAAATGCAATATATTGCTAAAATCCTGATGTTCAAACCATTGAAAGCACAGTAATAAAGATGCAGATCTGAGAGTGCCAAGTGTTCCATAGCAATCAATAATTCAATGTTTAAAATGACAAATTTTCAAAAATGATTGTGGCCAGCAAAGGTTACCAACACCCATATTTCCCATTAAAGAATTGGGAAAGCAAGATTTTGGGTGAATGGTGGTGAAAGGTGCTCAATTGAGTAAATAATCTTTTTTAATGCAGCAAGTTTTCTGGGGGAGGTCTGGCAGCGAAAAAAAAAAGTTAGGAATGATTGGTGAATTGATTATTAACTTTTTTTTAAATAACAGAAAAATAACTTTGAAAATGTGAAATTAACTTAAGAGAGATGTTGGTATTTATTGAGTATCACTATTGTCTTTTTCTTGCTATCTGTCCCATCACCGATGTAGCTATAAGGGTCACAGGGGTCGCAATTGCGACCCTGCCCCAGTGAGCCTGTGAGCAGCCCCTTTGTCAGATTATTCTCTGTCTTCTATAGCTTTAATAGACGTGTGCCGCCCCTGTAGTCCCCCACTTCCCCCCACCCCCATCCTTGCCCTGTCACTGACTAGAAGAAGCAGGAAGGATAAAGCAGCTTGTATAGGAATCGCCACCCAGCTTGACAAGGAAAAACAGAAGAGTTAACTGCACAGTTACAGCTGATCCGCCTCCTGCTGCCTACTGAGCCAATAGGCGTTGCTGCAACCCGCCGCCCCTCCCAAGCCCGCTACCTTTGAGAAAGGTGCCATGGGAGCTAGGGAGGGCGAGGAGAAAGTACAGAGCTGATTGATTTAGGAGAAGGTAATCTGTAGAATGTGCACATTGTTTACTGCAAGCTCCCCCCAGGGGCGGACGGACCATTTGGAAACTCGGGCACTGCCCGAGGGCCCGGGGTCAGTAGGGGGCCCCATGAGATGCCCCTGGTACCTTTTTCATAGGCTTTTTTGAATTTGGGCAAGGACACAGGGGCCCCATGGTCCCCTATTGCCCGGTGGCCCCATGAGTTGTCAGTCCGTCCCTGGCTCCTCCTCTCTTTCATTCCTTCCTTGCTTCCTTCCTCCCTAACTTCCTTCCCTCCTTCCTTTTTTTCTCTCTCTTTCTCTCTCATTATCTTTCTTTTTCTCCCTATTTCCCTCTCTCTTTTCTCTCTATCTTTCTTTCTCTCTTCTTTTTCTTTCTCTTTCTCTCCGTCTTTCTTTATCTTTCTCTCTCTTCCTTTCTTTCTCTTTGTCTATCTTTCTTTCTCTCCTCTCTCTCTTTCTCTCTCTCTCTTTCTTTTGTTCTCTCTCTCTCTCTCTCTCTCTTTCTTTCTCTCTCGCTCTTTTTTCTCCCCCCTCTCTTTTTCTGTTTCTTTCTCTTTCATTCTTTCTCTCTCTCTTTCTCGCTCGATCTTTTTCTCTCTTTCTCTCTTTTTTACCTTTTTCTATCTCTCTCTTTCTTTTTCTTTATCTCTCTCTCTTTCTCTCTCATTCTTTGTTTCTCTCCTCTCTCTCCGTTTCTTTCTTTCCTTCTTTTTCTCCTTCTTTCCCCCCCCCCCCCTCTCTCTCTCTCTCTCTCTCTGACTCTCTTTCTCTCTCTCTCTCTCTTTCTCTTTTTGTTCTCTCTCTCTCTTGCTCTCTCTCTTCCTACCACCCCTGCTCGCTCTTGTTTTAAAATTTTGTTGACATTTATTCATAAGGCCAGCCACAAACAGATTGAAATGTGGTCAATTCAGCAGGAATTAGCCCAAACTTCAATATGTCTTTGGGCAGGCTGGTTGTACTGAAGTTGATCGATGGATCAACTTCAGTACAAACTAGCCTGTCAGCTTTCATTTGTACAATCACTGCTGGCAGTGATAGCCAGCAGCAGTGATCATTGTATCTCTGATGGTTGGGAAACCTCCCGCTGTTAGAATACAATAGCACAGTGGGAGGGATCCCCCCCCCACTAAAAAAAATAATTGCATGCCAAATGTGGCAAGGGAGGAGGGGAGAAGGACTTCTCCTTTTGGACAAATTTCCACTTTTAACGTAACCTTACTACTAATATTATTAATCTGTATGCTGGGATATGGTGACATTTTCTCCATATCCAAATGTACAAGCTGCTCCCATATGCATTGTGCTGCTCTGGGCAGCTGCTTATCAAATCTTTTGAATTACCCTCTCAATATGTAAAGTGTAGCCACTTGGAATATCTTGGCATGTAGTGGAAACTGCAAGTGGAGCGGGGGAGGGTTGGAGGTCAACTCTTGCTTCAAGCTACGCCTCTGTGTCCCATAGATATTTGATGTAGACAAGCTGACTAGAGATGAGCGAATCGAAGTAGGCGAAGTGGAATTCGCTTCGAATATTAGAAAAATTTCGATTCGCGCCGAATCCGAAAATAAGCAGACTTTTGGATGCGCGAATCGAAATTTTTCCTAAAATGGCGGCGACATGTGCGGCGACGGAGCGGGGATGTCTGGGAAGGCGCGCAGACAAGGCGCGCTGACCCATAATGCATTCATTCATGACATGTGATCGCATTAGCCAATCAGCAGCCAGCCAGCCAGCACTGTGTTAATGGTCGAGCTATAAATGGCGGCCATTTTAGAATTCTCCATTTGCCTCCAGTCATTCAACAGAGGCAGACCTGGCTGTATTCAGGGAGAGAGTTAGGGACACATAAACATTACTTAGGGACATAGAAACGTTAGTTAGGCCAGAGAAACGTTACTTAGGGCCACAGAAACGTTACTTAGGGCCACAGAAACGTTACTTAGGGACACAGAAACGTTACTTAGGGACACAGAAAACGTTACTTAGGGACATAGAAACGTTAGTTAGGGACACAGAAACGTTACTTTAGGGCCACAGAAACGTTACTTAGGGACATAGAAACGTTACTTAGGGCCACAGAAACTTTACTTAGGGACACAGAAACGTTACTTAGGGACACAGAAACGTTACTTAGGGCCACAGAATCGTTACTTAGGGCCAGAGAAACGTTACTTAGGGCCACAGAAACGTTACTTAGGGACACAGAATCGTTACTTAGGGCCACAGAAACGTTACTTAGGGCCACAGAAACGTTACTTAGGGCCACAGAATTGTTACTTAGGGACAGACACAAGAATTGTTACTGAGGGCCACAGAACTGTTACTTAGGGCCACAGAACGTTACTTAGGGCCACAGAATTGTTACTTAGGGACAGACACAGAATTGTTACTGAGCGACACAGAATTGTTAGTGAGGGCCACAGAACCTGTTACTTAGGGCCACAGAAACGTTACTTAGGGCCACAGAATTGTTACTTAGGGACAGACACAGAATTGTTACTGAGGGACACAGAATTGTTACTGAGGGCCACAGAACTGTTACTTAGAGCCACAGAAACAGTTACTTAGGGACACAGAATTGTTACTCAGGGACAGACACAGAATTGTTACTTAGGGACAGACACAGAATTGTTACTGATGGGACACAGAATCGTTACTTAGGGCCACAGAAACGTTTACTTAGGGCCACAGAAACGTTACTTAGGGCCACAGATTTGTTACTTAGGGATAGACACAGAATTGTTACTGAGGGACACAGATTTGTTACTGAGGGCCACAGAACCGTTACTTAGGGCCACAGAATACGTTACTTAGGGGACACAGAATTGTTACTCAGGGACAGACACAGAATTGTTATCTGAGGGACACAGAATTGTTACTGAGGGACAGACAACAGAATTGTTACTGAGGGATACAGAATTGTTACTGAGGGACACAGAACCGTTACTTAGGGCCAGAGAAGAAACTCGTTTACTTAGGGCCCACAGAAACGTTACTTAGGGCTACAGAAAACGTTACTTAGGGCCACAGAAATCGTTACTTAGGGCCACAGAAACTTTACTTAGGGCCACAGAAACGTTACTTAGTGCCCACAGAATTGTTACTTAGGGACCACAGAATTGTGTTACGGAGGGACACAGATTTGTTACTGACAGGGCCACAGAAACGTTATTTTGGGGCCACAGAAACGTTTACTTTAGGGACACAGAATTGTTACTCTCGGGGGACAGACAGAATTGTTACTGAGGGACACAGAATTGTTACTGAGGGCACACAGAATTTTTATCTGAGGGGACACAGAATTGTTTCAGGGACACAGAATTGTTACTGAGGGACACAGAATTGTTACTGAGTTGGGACACAGAATTGTTACTCAGGGACAGACACAGAATTGTTACTCAGGGGACAGGACACAGAATTGTTACTGAGGGACACAGAATTTGTTACTGAGGGACACAGAATTGTTACTCAGGCGACAGACACAGAAGTTGTTACTCAGGGACAGACACAGAAATTGTTACTGAGGGACACAGAATTGTTACTGAGGGACACAGAATTGTTACTCAGGGACACAGAATTGTTACTCGAGGACAGACACAGATTGTTAACTGGGGGACACAGAATTGTTACTGAGGGGACACAGAATTGTTACTGAG